ACTTCATAACAAAGTTGCCCAAGACTGCGGGTGGACACGATACCATTTGGGTGATCGTAGACAGACTAACCAAATCCGTGGACTTCCTACCAATCAAAGAGACGGATAATATGGAAAAGCTGACAAAAACGTATCTCAAGGACATCGTAAGACTGCATGGTGTGCCATTGTCCATAATCTTAGATAGGGACAGCCGGTTCACTTCACGTTTTTGGCAATCATTGCAAAAATCCTTGGGAACCTGACTCGATATGAGTACAGCTTACCATCCACAAACAGATGGTTAGAGTGAGCGAACCATTTAAACATTGGAAGATATACTTTGTGCCTGTGTGATGGACTTCGGCAAAGCATGGGACACTCACCTACCACTGATTGAGGTCTCTTATAAGTTATAACAATAGCTACCACGCTAGCATCAAAGCCGCTCCGTTTGAGGCAATATATGGACGTAAGTGCAGATCACCATTATGGTGGGCTGAAGTTGGAGACACCCAACTGGCTAAGGGTCAAGCGACCAAAAGCACACTCACCGGCCCCGAGATAATACGGGAAACAATACAGAAGATCGTTCAGATACGAGAAAGACTGAAAGCATCCCGAGATCGACAAAAGAGCTACGCACACAGGAGGCGCAAGCCTTTGGAGTTTCAGGTTAGCGACTGAGTATTTTTAAACCTTAAGAAATGTCTATCCGATTACCTCAAGAACTCAACAATGTACATCCCACCTTTCACGTATCAAACCTTAAGAAATGTCTATCCGATGAAACCCTTGTCATTCCATTAGATGAGAGCGAGGTTAATGAAAGCATAAATTTCATCGAAGAACCGATCGAAATCATGGATAGGGAAGTCTAACTAATGAAACAAAGTCACATTCCAATAGTGAAGGTCCGCTGGAACGCTAAGCGGAGACCTGAGTACACTTGGGAGCGTGAGGATCAAATGAAACATAAGTATCCCCAACTTTTCCCAAATCCCTAGGAACGCGATATCTAAGACTAATTTTGGGACAAAATTCCTTTCAACGGGGGGGTGACGTGACCTTCGTCAAATTTTGGTCAACAAAAGTCAAAGAGGGTCAACAAAAGTCAATTGTGCGTATATTAGGTCAAAAAGGCGAAATGTGATTTTCGTAACATCCCTAATGTACTATTGAATATTATAATGCTACGTACGCTATTTTGAATCCATTATCGAATAAAAACTTTTATTGCGATCAGTAAACTACGGTAATGTAGTAATTCGATAAAACACACAAATATTACCGGGAATTGGGTAATGTTCATAACACGAGGTTTACTTGTTCACAAATCCATAAACACGTTTTAAACATCATATGACCTAGTATTTAGTTGATACTCCGGTGGTTATTCTGGAAAAAGGTCATACATCAAGAAAACGAAATGTTATCACGTTTAACACTCATATTTTATACAACGAATTTGAGAAAACCAATTTAATTATAAGTTGTTAATATTATTGTTAATAATATTAAATAACAATATTTTTATTAGTTATTAAACCTTACCAATTTATAAAATGCCACCACACTTTTATAAATGACAAACTTTTATAAAAAAAGCTAGTTTTTTTATAAAAACTATATGAGACAAATTATGTCTCTTCTCTCCCAACATATCTCCCCATATCCAACATCATCATATCATCTATATAATAAAGAAATCAAGGAACCATGCTTGAATATTTTAATCAAGATGCCCTACTTGATTAAAATAAGCTAGAAAGCTTACCCTAAATTAAATATTCACAACAACTTACCTCTTCCCTTCCCCATGCAAACCGCCACCACTCTTCTCTCTCCCTCTCCTTCTATAAATTTGGCCAAGAGGCCTCCCTCCCCACCATTTCATCTTCAATCTCACTTCTATACTCTCTAAACTCTCCAAGAATTCTCTAGTTGATTCAAGGCTTTTGGCAAGTGTTTTGAAATTATTTTTGGCAAGATCTTGGAGTTTCAAGAAGGTGTCACTTGATTCTTACCTCATATTGCCACCATTTCTTGCCATCTTCTAGGGAAAGCACACAAGGTGAGTTCATACCTCATTTTCTACTAATTTTCACTTATTTTACACTTTCGGGGGAGGTTACATGCTATGCAAACAAAATACATGTTGGACAATGACTTTACACAAAGGTCCTAGATGTAATATATGATGGATAAAACTTTTAACCTTTGGGTAATACTCTTACATGCATGTTTATGCTCTTTTTATGAAGATATATACATATATTCATGTTTTTAAAGATAGCACACAAGTCTTATTCTTTTTATGCACAATTTTCTCATATTAGAGCTATTGCATGGTGGATAATATCTTTATCCATTAGATAATATTATTACACAATGGATAAACACAAACTAATATTTATACCAAAAGTCTAGTTTTGAAAGATTAAAACTTTTTGTTTACACATTGGACAAAACCATTACCCATTGGATAATACCATTATCCACTGGGTAATACTATTACACAATGGGTAATCAACATACATTTAGAACAACATTTTGAATATGGAAAAGCTTTGATTTGATTTACAACCTAGAACAACATACTTTCGACGGGTTATGTGAGACATTTCTTCAACCATTACGCTAAGTCCCAAACCTTATAATCGTTAAATCTTAAGTGAGCGGGAGAATTGTGTATAGATCTATATGGGATTGACAACCCCCACCTATGGTTGCTAGCTACAACCACGATCGAAGGGTCAAAGGTGACAATTGTCTTAACATTTCACGACGTCCGAAGAAGCTTCGTGGCGGGCAACATTACAGTAGATATCTCGATTATAGAGGCTCACAATAACATCGAATAGTGAAATTCTAGTGCAAAACACATTTATAAGTATGGTTATTTATTATACATTACATTTAAAAGTATGGTTATTTACTTATACAATACATTTATAAGTATGATTATTTACTTATACACTACATTTATAAGTATGGTTATTTACTTATACACAACATTTATAAGTATGGTTATTTACTTGTACACAACATTTATAAGTATGGTTATTTACATATACACCACATTTATAAGTATGGTTATTTACTTATACACTTGATTTTTGGATGATAAAAATCATATGACAAGTCACACTTCTTTTGATAAGTTTAGAAATTATGGGAACTTTTATTTTATAAATGCTTTTGGATACCTACTACACACATACATTCTTCTTTTACGCTGAAGGCGTACAAATACAAAACTTTCTACAAGACGGAGATACGATTTTCATCTACGGAAAAATATCAGATTTTTCTACAACTGAACTCTTATGAACTCACCAACTTTATGTGGAATTTTAAAACGACATTTAATATCAGGAAACAATTAAGCTCGGATCAGTGGAGCTACTTTTGAAGACAAGACACCAAATATCATTACGGGAACTACTTTATTTTGATAAGATGCAAACCTTGTAATGTATTTTGATACTAAGTAACATTTGGGTCATGTAACTGATACTATCATATGATATAATGGTTGTTTATGCGATTGTGTTTCAATGTATACAATTATTGTGATATTGTGTTGTCGTTCCACCCCCGGACGTTTCCGCCATCCGGTGTGGGGGTGTGATAGTATGTCCTTATTCTTGTTTAGGGTAGGGGTTTTTGATGTTAGGTTAGGGATTTCAATTTGATGGGGCTACCTAATTGGCAAGGTCAAAGATGGGTTAAGTTTGGGATTTCAATTTGTTGGGGCCGCCTAACTAGAAAGGTCAAAGATGGGTGATGGTGGAGATAGTGGTGGTGGTGGTTCGCGAGTTTAACAAAGCGAGGGAGGAGAAGAAAGTAAAGATATGGGTAAGGGTGCGTATTCTATGGAGTTTTTGTTTATATGAAAGAAAGGTTTCAAATACCATGTTTTCTACACGATGGAACTTTGGGTGGGCTCCAAACTTTTTAAAAACAGTCTAAGGCTTTGGCTTCAATGTACCTTACCAAAATACACTTAAAGTATTCCGTTCTTTCTTTCTTATCTTCTCTTAGAGTGTATATATTGTTAGTTAACAATGCAGGAGAGTGTAGCTGTTTTTGGGGAGACTTGGGAGATTAGTCTATATTATTGTAATAATTTATCATATAATGGATCATTCTTTCTCTTTAGAGGCATATGGTTTTTCTTTGGTTTTGGAGTTTCCACATATATTCTTGTATCTTGTTATTTTTCTCTATTATTGTTTTTGGGAGGATTGTTGGGGATCTTTGAGGCGATTTTCTCAACAAGTGGTATTAGAGTTCCGGGTTTTAGAGGAGGTCACGATTTTAGAGGTTCGTCTTATGCCCTGTGATTGCAACTTTGTCTAATCTTCCACAACTAGGAAAAAATATCTATTTGTCATATTGGAAGCTGTCTCGGTACTTTAAAGGATATTCTTATGCTCTATGGTTGCAACTTGGTCTGATCTTCCACATCAAAAACGAGGATCCAGTTAACTATTTTGTGTACGATAGAATTGTATACAAGCCGGGAATACGTAATGTCCGGGGAATGTTCTGGCTAGGAAAGACTTGGTACTTAAGTGTGTCCATTGTGATCGACTCGAATACAATTGTATCGATGTTACTAAAATGATGACTTCCTTTAAAATCATGTTATCCCTATGGTACGCCCATACTACCATGAAAAGGGATGTAGTTTTGTTAACAGATTCACGATTTACACATGGGCATCAAATTTGCAGGAATGCAAAATGTATGGTGAAATTAATGTTGATGGCTGGTGAACTTTTGGGTATGCCAAACAGGGAAGTTGCATCATAAATTTTCAACAATTTTTTAACATGCATCGAGGTGAAATTCTTCGAATGGTTTATTCTAAGTGGAGATACGCTTTTATGGTACAGTATGATAATTCTATGCTTTTGGAATTATGATTGTCGGTTGAAGATGATGTTCCTTTTTATGTGGCTGCGGTTTTCTTTCACTTATCGAAGGTTGGGATTTGTTGAGTTTTTGGCTATATGAAAGAAAGGCTTCCCATCCCACATTGCTACAAGGATGAGAATTTAGGTGAGCTCTAAGCTTATAAAATGTGTCCAAGGCTTTGGTTTCAATGCACCCACCAAAATACACTTGAAATGTTTGGTTCTTTTTTTCTTATCTTCTTTTAGAGTGTAAAAATTGTTAATTAACACTTTGAGAGAATGTAGTTGTTTTTGGGGAGGCTTGAGAGATTAGTCTATGTGATTGTAATAATTTATTATACAATTGTTCTTTCTCTCTGGAGGCCTATGGTTTTTTTTCTCGATTTTGGAGTTTTCATATATATATATATATATATATATATATATATATATATATATATATATATATATATTCTTGTGGCTTGTTATTTTTCTCTATTATTGTTATTGGGATGATTGTTGGGATCTTCGAGGCAATTTTCCTAAATCCTTTTTCTCACTTTATTTATAATGAAATATTATAAACAATTAAAAATTGAAGATAATTAGACTTTCAAGTTTGACAAATAAATTCACAACATAAGCCGGTGGGTATGGTACCCACCCACCACACTTCCACATCAGCATCAATGTCTCTCTTCTCTCTACCACTCCTAGAGGGGATTATGTTCGTCTAAGAACCACGCCATCATGAGGCCAAGAAAGAATAAAAGCAAAGGAAATAATAGAGGAAGAAATAGAGAAGGACGCGTTACCTTACATTAAGCCCTCCGGGCATTGCTACGAAGTGTTAGGAAGATGCGTTGTTCCGAATAACTCAACGACGTGGAGGGAGGCCAACTAAGCCCCTCCATGATGTTGCACTTTTGAAACTAGATAAATAAAGACTCCTATTATTTATTCTATAATAAGTAAATAAATAAAATACTATAATATGTGAAAAAAGTAGTATGTTCTTTGAAAAGAGCTGACTTATAAGGGCCAGGAAGTTTAAAAACGTTCAAAAAAGACCATCAAAGTTTTGCCTGTTCCAAAAACACCATCCAACTAAGCTCTTTGTACAAAAACACCAACAAAATTTACCTTTTGTTCAAATCTCATCCGGCGGTAACCAGATGCTGTTAGTTAAATGAAAAAAATGATCTGATAAATTAATTAACTAAAATTAAGCAATGACATGACATTTTTTTTTATCCTTACGTGGATTAAGGAGAAAAAAGTATCAGTTTCTCAAAATCATTTAATGGGAGGGAGTGAAGCAAATAACCTCTCTAGGGTTTTTTTTTACCTTCGATTGAGCAACCCTATATGAAATCAATTTCCACAGCCTTGGTGACATAGATTCCTCCTCAGCCTTGGTGACATCAAGTTCTACATCTAGAATGTTGTTCTCATGATAAGGTAACCTTAGTATAGAGGTTTAACACAAAGGTACTTTTGTTCCCAAGCCTTTGATTTAATTCTCACCTCAAAATAATTCTGTTACAGTGGTAGACTTACGAAACATGGAGTTCAAGGACTTCATTATCTACCTCCAGATTATGATAAAGTATAAATGTCGTGATATGTATTATGTCTTCCAAATTGGCCATAATAGATGGGTTTAGAGAGCTGAGAGCTGAGAGATTATGATGATTATGTGAAGTTTCTTGATGCTGTATAAAGTAATGATTGTAAAATCAATTTCTATATTGATCATTAACATGAAGCAATTATGGAATGGATTGAAGAAGAGAAATTCGGAAAAAGGGACAATGCTAATGATACATGTGAAGATGATGTGGACTCGGTTAGGTCGGATGATGTGTCAGTGGACCATGAAGATGATGATGCATTTACTGAAATTCCAAAATCTGTTGATCCTTATTTGTCCCACAAAAAGTTTATTTTAGGAGGGGTAGAGGATGAAGCTGATGATGAGGTGGTACAATTTCTTATTCATGATCCCAATTAGAAATGGGACACAATGGTTCCCATATTAGGTATGAGATTCTTTGACCGATATGAATTGAAGAAATGTAAAAAAATAATGTTGTGTTTAAATGTTATGCATTGTGGTATGAATAAAATAACTCGAACTAGATTGTTGGTGAGGTGTTGTACAAGTAAGAAAGGAAATGCATCTTGCCCTTTTAAACTATGGGTTAGTCCGATGAGTAATGAAGATTCATTCCAAATCAAATCACTAATTAATGAACATAATTGTTGTAGAACCATAGACTTGAGTTCTATTGTTCCATACAGGTGGATTGGTAAAATGTTAACCAATTACATTCTGTAAAGGCCCCGACTTAGTTACAGGAAAATGGTAGCATTAATGAAGAAATTTTTTGGTCTCAATGTAAGTGTTGGGCAATATAGAAATACCAAGAGTTTTGTGCTGGATGAGATTTAAGGTGGTTTGGTGGGACACTATGAAAAGTTGTGGAATTATGGTGTTGAGTTATTGAGGTCTAATCTGGGCTCAACAGTCTCAAAAGAGGTGAATCCTATTCCTAATTTTACAATTAACTTTAAAAGGATGTTTGTTTTCCTGAAAGGTGTCAACGATGGTTGGATTTAATGATTTAGAAGGGTCATCGATGTTGATGGATGTTTTTTGAAGGGTATTGATACGTGTGGAATGTACCAGTTTTAATCCTACTAACTTAAACACAAAGACAAACACACAAAAGGCAGTGTACCTATCGATTAGCAGTTTAGTTCAGGTAAGTATGGTATCGAACACAAGGAATGGTAAACAATTAAAATAAATACTAGTATTACCTAAATGAAAACATGTAATAAAAGGGGGTTTTCTCTAGTTTTGCAAGACTAGAAACTTAAGCAATCAAATAACACTTAAACAAAAGACAATTAACAACTAAAGGAGAATGAAAAAAACAACTAGATTCAATAAGATAAAAGAGACTTCCATTTAGATTTCGATTCACTTATTCCTATGGTTGATTTTGTGGCAAGTGCAATGGATCAATATGTCAATGATTACCGATTTCTAATGTGATTAGGTTCATGTTCACTATTACTAATCCTTTAGCAAACAAGTTAATTCAAACAGTGATCAAGTGATTAAACTAACAAGTTTCCTAGTGTTCAATTCGAATCAAGTAAGACTTGTAATATTAGTTAACTAAAATTTTCAATTCAATCAACTCATATGTGGTTGTTCATCACACATGCTCATACATTAACTTACTTATTAATTAGTTAACCCTAGGTTCATGTTCACTAATACTAGGCATACAATCTTGTTTTCACAAAACTATATAATTCAAGCAATTAAGAAGATATTCATACAACTCAATAAACTTGATTATTAACAGAAAATAATTATCATTAACATGTAAGGATCTTTTAACAAGATTAACAAGATAAATAATCAAATCAAATTAATCCAAACCACTCAATTAAACCATATTCATAAGATCATCTAGTCCAAACAGAAGTATGGAGCTTTTAGCTAATAACTACAACAAATAGCATCCTAAAATCAAAATCTAATGATTCAAACATGGTTCACACAAAAGATTAAGATAAAAGTAATGTTTGTTTGCCTTTGATCTCTTCAAAATTGACTTCTAGGTTGAATTCTCGAAAACCAAAGCCTCTAAGAACCTCTCTGGCCTCCAAAAGTCGCTCAAAGCCTCCAACATTAGTTAGGGTTTCGAATGAAAACGTTCTATATATAGATTGTGAAAAACAGCTCCAGCTCATCGAGTTTTATGAAAAAACTCTCCGAGTTTCTCACATAAAACGTGTGTACGGCAAGGCACTGTTGAATCGGGAGCTTTCTTGGCAACTTGTCGAGTTTTTGGACCCAACTCGTCTAGTTTGTTTGGAATCAACATTTTCTCAAAACATTAAAGTCGTCCGAAATTGTGTTTAGTTTTCATAACATTTTCAATATCGTCAATCGAAGTTACGAGTCATGAGATATGTCCAAAACACTGACGAGGGGTTAAGCTGTCCAACAACATCCTTCTTTCCTCAAAATCCAAGATCCAAGCTTCCAATCGCTGAATCCGCTTCGTTTTCCTTCCGAGCATGTCTTTGTTGATGAAATGAGATTTTAACTAATTAAGTAGCTTTTGTTCATTATTTAAGATAAAATCAACATAAAGTATTAAGATAATATATAAATTATATGACTAAATATGCCCATATCAGGTATTTGTAGAGCTGAACTATTATCAACTGTTGGTAGGGACTCCAAAAAACCAAATGTACCTTGTCGCATTGGATGTAGTGGCATTTTAAAACAAGGAAACTTGGAAGTGGTTCTTGGATCTACTACTTGAGGACATTGATATGGGAGATGGTAGAGGTCTTACAATCATTTTTGACCAATACACAGTGTGCCCTTATATATATATATATATGTATATATATATATATATATATATATATAGACACACATAAAAGTTAGTGCTTTATGTGTTTTTCTTAATGTTATATTACATTTAAGTTAGAGATCTTATATGTTTTCATCTTACAAGGCTAGGTAGAGGTTGTTAAGGAAAGAGCACTGGCATGTGAGCATATGCAATGTGCCAGACACATCTATACTTACTTTAAGAAGTTCACATTTGTTGAGTTTAGGAAGCTATTCTGGAGAGCTGCAAAGTCCACAACTTAGTCAAGTTTTCGATCTTATATGAGGGAAATTAATGCAATGTCCACACTAGCTCATGACCACCTGATGGCTAATTTTAACAAGTTATGAGCAAAACATCCATGTTTTTATTGAAAAAATGATCGATTTTAGCATCCATATATGATAAAAGGAACAATGGAACCGAAAGTTTTAGGGTCTATATATACAGGTCTGTAAACAAGTTTGTAAATAATTTTGTATAAATGTCTATATACAAGTCTGTAAACACGAGTACCCCCCCCCCCCCCCCCCCCCCCCCCCCCGTATTGGCCCTACTGTTACGGTTTGTATAAAGGTCTATAAACATGTCTAAAAAAGTACATTGTTGTGTGGTCTATGTGTTCGCTAAATAGGTCTACCTCCATAACTGTTTACCCTTTATATATGAAAAGGAATGTTGATTACAATCAAGCATTAATACATCACAACAAGTAATTTATAATGTTGAGAATCATGTGTTGATTACCATCAAACAATTACAAAGAAAACAACATTAAATCTGTTGTGAAGTACACCATTTCTTCTGTGGGTAAGGTTGACATCTGTTCATAATGGTATTCTTGTCCCAAATGTATAATGCCTTAACCTTCTATTATGCTTCATAACCATCTGGTGGTATCTGGTCCCATAAGTAAAATTCCTTAATCCATCCCATAAATCCAAAAACCTGCCAAACATTGGCTCAAGGGCATAAATGTCATTCCATTTAAGGCAATGTAGTTTTACCATAACGCCCACATTTTCCTTAGACATATCGTAGAAAGACCCTCATTTACATTATCGAATCAATGTAATTGTATAAAAAATAAATAAATGATATTTTTTTACATGTTATGTGTTTACAAAAGTGTTCTTTGTATATGATATTGTATTTGTGTTATACGGATAAATATTATAATGATATAATATTTGTATAAAAACACGATAACAAAAACGTAAAGAAAAGCCAGAAATAACAATTAAAAATAAAAGCGTATTTATGATAAATGATCTAAGTGAAAGTTGTAGATACAGTAACCACAAGCGTGCGAATATAAAGAACACCCAAATATGACTTCGTATGAAGAAGTTATGATTTTTCAAAGTTTGAAGTTCGACAGTATACAGTGTGTGTCATAAAAAGTGAGATAGAGATCAGTTGCTCGTTTGTCACACCCCCGACCGGCAGCAGAAACACTAGGCGGCGCGAAGTTATGGTGTTGGTCACAGTTAAAGGATACAATTTAAGTATGTAACACCTGTTCCAGGTATCATTTAATTTATCTAAATTTTAGGGTTTTGTGCTTGGACTCGGCGAGTTGGGGAGCTCCAACTTGTTGAGTAGAGATCATTTATGAGGATGCGGGATTCAGATCCTACTCGATGAGTCGGAAGGCCCCGACTCGACGAGTAGACGCTGTAAAGGAAAACCCTATTTTTCTAGGGTTTTCACCCTATTTAATGGGCTTAATCTGCCTCTTGTGGCCTCCCTTACCACTTCACTACCCAGAGAAGAAACCCTAAGCCGTTCTTTGCTGTTTCCTTGTGATTGAGAGGTTAAGAGAGAGTTTTTTGTGCATTTAGTTGAAGGAGTTTGAAGATTGAGGAGCTTGGAGCAGGAATGAGACTGTAGATCCAACATCTACAATGTTTGGACACACATTTGAAGGTAACAAGCTGTTACCTTGATCATTCTAACATTAGATCCCCTTTTTCTTGGGTTTTATGCCATTTCTAGTATAATTGTGAAGCATTTCGGGTGTTGGGTAAGATCTGGAGTTGCAACTTCAGATCTGGACTCCTCTAAGTCCTTAGAGTTATAAACTTGTTGAATTTATCAATCTTGGTCCTCCTCTTCGGCTAAAACCCCTCCCCTAGCTTGGTTTTGGCAATTAAGAGCTTGCATGCACGTAAAGTTTGCAACTTTACGTGGAAACCATGCCTTAGGAGGCTAGATCTACAATCTGGAGCTTTGGGGTAGCTTAAAAACGTCTGAACACAAAAAGGACTGAAGGAACTCATCGAGTCCCTTAGCCAACTCGACGAGTCGAGTAGGGTTTACCCATTTTCAAGATTCCGAGTGATTTCTGTGAAGGATTGGGGTTTTCGGTCTACACGGGTTTTCGGTCTTCTGGACATTGAGGAACTCGACGAGTTACATTGGTAACTCGGCGAGTTGAAGAGTTACTCGGGTAACTCGATGAGTTGCTGGATGCACTCGACGAGTTGAGGTCAGCATTGACTGTTGACGTTGACTGTTGACCTTGACTTTGACCAGGGTTGACTAGGATTGACTTTGAGGATATTTATGGTAGTTCGGG